GGGAAATGATTGAAGAAAACAGAGCAGTTATTTGTGGTTCTCGCCATTCTTCGATGTCGCCGGAAAGCGCCGGTACAAAAAATCCAAAAAAGACGTAACTTACTTTTGTGTTTTCCGTATAATAAGTAAGACGCAAACGTAAGTTGCGTTTTTGCCTATACCGTATCCCCTTGAAAACGCATTAAGGTAATGCGTTTTACGTGTACGAATACGTATACGCAACTACCTCTTGCGTTTTACGAAAATACTGGAAAAAAAAATATGTTGGGACACAACCAAAAACGCAACTCCCAAAGGAGTTTTGCATATTTTTGTCAAAAAAAAAAAAAAAAACGCTACACACTTTGAGAATTTCGGGCTTTTGACCACACATTTCGATCATTGATCCGAGTTGCGTTGATAAAGAGATATTTAAAAGTCGCAATTTCAAAGACATTGTATACGAAGTCAATTCAAAAGCATCACCATTTCATTATGTAAGCAACTCGAGAGTTGTTATAGAGAGACTAGTAATGTAATTTATACGAAGTCAATTGAAGAGCATCTAGTACGCAAGATAGGATGCAACTAATAAGGAAGTAACTATGCATCATGGTGAAAACATAGTCCATAAACACTCCTTCTGTGTTCTGTGACCTATGAAGAAGCAATTCTTCCCCAGTAGGGATGGCAATGAGGCGGGGTGGGTGTGGGCCATACCAGATATATCCCCGCACCCGCATTCCTCCGCACTCGCACTCGCACTCGTGCCCGTGCGGGTAATGAAATTCCTACCTCATATTTGCCCCCGAGGGGATTTTGTAAGTGCGAGTAATACCAAACCCGCAACTCTAAATATTAATATTACACTTAAATCTAATAAAAATTTTATACGACAATTCTAATTATCACATGGATTTTTATAAGTTTGAACTAGGGGTGTAAATGAGCCGAGCAGCTCGCGAGCGACTCGGTCAAAGCTCGGCTCGAGCTCGGTCAAAATTGAGCTCGAGCCGAGCTCGAGCTGCTCGTTTAGTAATCGAGCTCGAGCCGAGCCTAGATATTCTAGGCTCGTGGCTCGTCGAGCCATATAATATATAATATATATAATACATAATATAATATAATATAATATAATATAATAATATATAAAAATAACAATTAAAAATTAAAATTTTAAACTTAAGATCCCTAAAAGATTTCTATTATTTATGTATGGATAAAACAAAATAGTTTGAATTTTAAATCAAAAATATTAAATAGGTCAAATTCAATGTCAAAATCGAGCTCGAACTCGAGCTCAAGATCGAGCTCGAGTTCGAACTCAAACAATCGAGCTGCTCGAGCCGAGCTCGAGCTCGAACTCGAGCCGAGCCTTCATTAACGAGCTCAAGCTTGAGCCTACCCAGGCTCGAGCTCGACTCGGCTCGTTTACACCCCTAATTTGAACATAACTATAAAAAAAATTTAATAAGAGCCAATGAAGTTAATTCTTAATTGGAACTAAAATTGTGTTGGTAGTATAAATTGTATTAAGTGTTTACTCATTATATTATTTGTGTTGTTCTTATTCAATTTTAATATAATTAACAAAAAAATTAAGAAGTTTAATTCGTTATGCATTTTTAATTATAAAATATACATAAACTTATATAATAAATGAATACTAATAAAAATATATATAAGTGCGGGTGCGGGGTGGGGATACCTCTCCCCGCACCCGCCCCCATACCCGCGCGGGTATACAAAATTCTCCTCATACTCGCACCCATTATCCAAATTGTGCGGGTATTTTAAAACCCGTAGGGCCTGGGATGCCGGGAATCCATTGAGTGCGGGTAGAATTGTTATCCCTATTCACCAGTTTCTACTAGGACTAGTCATTTCGGTTCGGGTGAACCAAACCGGTTCGGTCTTACCCATTAAGCTATAGGCACATTTGTGTCAATACTTACATTTGTATGTTAATAAAGGTATACATTTTTTATTAAATGTTGTACACTTCAATTATACTGGACAAAATTGTCCCTACTACATTCTTGTTAGACAAAAGTACCCTTACACCGTTATAACACCGTTACTATTTAATTCTAACTTTCATAACCCTATCATTATTATCATACATCTATATTATCTGTTAAGTGTAGGAAAGGAGAGTAATGTACTGTATATCTATTTCACACTAAATAGTACAAAAATACTGCCTATATATACACAGGTAATGAAGTACTACCACACAATTCAAAACAGAAAATGCTAGGCTAAGAGTAGAACTCTAACTGTCCCCTCTAATTCTCCTTATTCATCTAACACTCCCCTTCAAGTTGGAGCATAAATGTCAACCATGCCCTACTTGTTACAAATAAACTCAACCCTGACCTTACTAAGACTCTTTGTGAACAGATCTGCTAATTGATCACCGCTTCAAACATGAACGGTAGAGAATAGCCTTTGTTGAGCGTTGTCCCGCACGAAGTGACAATATACTTCAATATGTTTAGGGCCCGTAACAATAGATCACAATCATCACATAATATCCAAAATCTCACAGTTTCACACTGCTTCGACCATAATATATCACAATATATCAGAATTGACAGAACATATTCATAATATATCACATATCACAATACACATAATAAATCACAAATATAAAATTAGGGTTTGCGATTAAAACTACTTCCACAATAATATATCACAATATATCAGAACTGACAGAACAATATATCACAATACATAGAATAAATCACAAATATAAAACTAAGGTTTGCGATTAAAACTGCTTCCACAATAATATATCACAATATATCATAAAATTTTCATAATATATCGAAATATATCACAATATTTCACAATACATTTAAGAACAAATTGCACTTTTGGTCCTGTGAGTATTAGGGTACTGACAATTTGAGTACGTGACTTTCAAAACTCCCAATTTAAACCTTTAACTATGCAATTTTTGGCAGATTTGGTCCTCCAGGCCAAATTGCCGGCCAATTTTGGCCGGAAAAATTAAAACTATTTTTAATTATTTAATTATGAGGGCAAATTGGTCATTTTAGAGTCTTCTTCTTCATTCACCCCCTTCTTCTTCGTTCCTCTTCTTCTTCGTTCTTCTTCTTCTTCATCCTTGCACTGGGAGCTGAGTCGTCCCCTGTTTCCGTCGCTTCTCCGGTGTCCAGTGCCGCCGCCACCGCCGCTCCCTCACCTATAATCGCCATGCCTCCGCCGTCTCCGTCGTCCACTACCGCCACTGCTATCCTTAACTTCGTATGGTCTATAACGGTCGACATTATCGTGTTAGTTGCTTTGTTTTCATGTTTTGATCGAGTAACCTCTGTTCCCTGGACGATATGTCGCAAACGGAGCCGGTGACTTTGAAGCCTTTTGCCTGCCATTCCCGGTGACTTTGAAGCCTTTTCCAGAAGCGCCACATTCAAACCTCCACGCCAATGGACACGTGCCGCCTCTCGCCGCCGGAAATCCCCCGGATCCTGTCTGTGTCACCAACCCGAGCTCCTGCAACGTGACTCAACCCGAGTTCTTCGATCAACTGAGTCACCCGTGATCCCAGCTCCGGTGCTGGCAGCCTCAGCCGGATGGGGCCGACGATGGCAAGAATCTCCCATGGCTTCGCGTGGCAGCTCACATCCTTCAACACAACACGAACTCCCCCGCCGCCGCCCGATAATTTCTCTTCTTCATCTCAGACATCTCTGCTGAAGAGCTTGAAATGGCGGCGGCGATGGTGTTTTTGGTGAGTGGAGATTGAGTAGCTGATGCCCAATGCTTCAACTTCACAACCTTGCTTCTTCATTATATCCAGCCAAGAGGAGGATCGGATCGGATCGGAGATTAATTTGGCTCCCAGTGCAAGGATGAAGAAGAAGAAGAACGAAGAAGAAGGGGGTGAATGAAGAAGAAGACTCTAAAATGACCAATTTGCCCTCATAATTAAATAATTAAAAATAGTTTTAATTTTTCCGGCCAAAATTGGCCGGCAATTTGGCCCGGAGGACCAAATCTGCCAAAAATTGCATAGTTAAAGGTTTAAATTGGGAGTTTTGAAAGTCACGTACTCAAATTGTCAGTACCCTAATACTCACAGGACCAAAAGTGCAATTTGTTCATACATTTAATAAATCAGAAATATAAACTAGGGTTTGCGATTTACTTGGTTTCCCCCAAATATTTCCCAAAGAACAAGGGCTTGTAATTTAATCACCACGATTCACGAGAAGGACTTCCACCACTCTAAGTCGCCAATGGCCACTGGAGAATTAGAGACGACTTTCTCAAACACAAGCTCACCGTCTCAGAGAGTGAGACAAGAATAGAGAAGTCAGATAACACAGAACAGAGAGAATTGAAGAATCGAACTATCGAAGAAGAAGAGAGAATAGAGAAGTAGAGAACAAACTCACAGTGAGAATAGAATCAGAGTAGATAGAGGACTGAGGAGTATAGGGAAGTAAGAGTGAATGAAAGATGCTAGTCTAGATAAGAAAAAGAACGACTGCACAAATGAAGGAGGGTTGCAAACACATACATATATACTAGGCTTAAACGATGTCGTACCATAGCATGTCTAACCCTAACCCTAATATAAATCGGATATTCGGGTGGGTCAGATATGAAATTATCCTACCCGACCCGACATCCCTTATCCAACGTCGTTTCAGGCCACAGTTCGGATATGTAATTTTGGATACAGATCAGGGCGGATGTCCTTGTTTCAAATCTCGGACCGCTTGGTTAATTCAGATAGGGTCGGGTATGCACATGCCTTTGATTAGGTGATATGCGTGGTTGTGTTGAATAAAAAGGAGGAAATGAATTTCTGCAAAGTGAAATGCGAAATCCACAAGGTTAAATCACCTTGCAGATGGAATCCGCAAGGTCAGGGACGGAGCCAGATTATATGATGCGGGGGGCCAATCGCGATTTAAGAGTGAACAATTTAATACATTAATATTCATTTAATATATACCAAAATAGATCATTACATTACAAATGTACTAAAATTTAGAACGTCTCTCCTGCATATCACGAAAATCATCTATAATTGAATCTATACTAAATTGCTTTGCAATTTGCTTTTCAATGTACACTAACAAACAATCATTAAGAAATTGATCATCCATCTTGTTACGAAGTGTAGTCTTGACTATTTTCATGGCAGAAAAAGATCGTTCTGTTGTAGCTGTGGATACAGGAAGCGTGAGAATGAGAGTTACTATTCTGAACACAAGAGGATAGATGTCCAATTTTCTAGTTTTCACCAACCATTGGCAGAGATCAGAAATACTTTCTAGTCCTCTAAAATCAGGAAGTTGTTGCACATGTTCAAAATGTTCAAGTTGCATTCTTAATTGCAAAATCTCATAATCTGCAAAGTCTTGTGGGTAAAACTTCTCTACCAACTTGCAAATGTCATCAATTCTGAATGATATACGCATTTCTTTTGGATCAAGGGATGAACTTAGAATAATTAACTCCATTGCTTTATCATCAAACCTATTATTCAACTCTTGCAACTGAGAATCAATCACCGCATTAAAAATATCAACTTTGTAATGATGTCCAACTGTTAATTCATCTTGTTGATGCCTAGCCCTTCCTCTTCTTGCAATATATTTAGCATCAAAATCTGACACAGTTATATTGACATTTTCACAAAAAGACTTCACACTTGAAACTAATTCATCCCACCCACTATCTCTTAATTTTTGAATAAGCAATTTAGTAGATGCCACAAGATGCATTGCATTCAATATATCTTGAGATTGGAGTTGCAAAGCTTGGCAAAGCATATTAGAAATCTCTAGAACTTTTCTCATGAGGTGCATAATGAATACAAATTCAAAAGAAGTCATTACCTCATAAGCTGCATCGGCATCTCCACGGTGAGTAAGTGTAGTTCCATCTTCAATAATATTAAGTAAAACTTCACATGTTGCACTAAACATTCTCATCAAACTTCATATGGATTTCAAATGAGAACTCCAACGAGTATCACCTGGCCTTTGTAAAGAACCAATTTGGTTAAGACCCCTCCCACTTTCAAGCTCATCAATACTCAGCAAATGAGCAATATTTGAGGCATGAGCAGGTTTCAACTGGTCATTGCGCTTACATGAAGCCCCAACAACATTAATAATGGAGTTCAACTTAGTGAAAAAGTGATGGACAGGAATGACTTCCTTTGATGAAGCTACTAATGCCAATTGCAATCGATGTGCAAAACAATGAACATAATAAGCATACGGACATTTATCCAAGATTAAAGTTTTCAATCCATTCCACTCTCCACGCATGTTACTTACACCATCATAACCTTGTCCTCGAATATTTTGAACATCAAGATTATGACGAGATAAGATAGAAAAGATACCTTCTTTCAATGTTGATGCAATAGTGTCCTTAACATGAACAACTCCAAAGAATCTCTCTTGTATAAAGCCATCTCTATCAACAAATCTCAAGACAATTGACATTTGTTCTCTCTTTGATTCATCTCGAGCTTCATCAACAATGATACAAAATTTTGCATCACCAATTTCTTCTCAGATAGCACTTTTTACTTTAGTTGCCAACACTTGCAAAATTTGTTTTTGTATTGTTGGTGATGCATATGTTGCATTTCGTGGAGCTTTATCAAGAACTTTTGTTACTTCATCATTAAAAGAGAAATGAAACTCAATAACTCTAAAAAGTTTCCACAGTTTGTTGATGTTATTGACTCATCATCACCTCTAAAAGAACATCCTTGAAATGCAAGCCATCTCGTTGCCTCAATTGAAGTTCTCAAGCGAAGTCTATTTTCAACTATTTCTTGAGATGTGAATTTCTCAATATGTTGTGCAATGTGTGATTGTTGGTTCATGAGATCCGCACAAGCTTTCTTGGCACTTCGATGAGGGGAGGTGAGATCTTTCCCAATATGTGCTAAAAATGAGCAATTTTTTCCATCTCTAACTTTCTTCCATGATCGAAAACCATTGATAGTAAAAGCATGCAATCTGGAAGGCCCATCTTGAGTATGGAATAAATAACATGGTAGACAAAATGCTGCATCTTTACTAGGAGAATATTCTAACCAAGAAGGGAATAATTTAAACCAAGAAGCTTGAAAACTACGAGGATGCTTTTCTCCAGATTTTGGATACTTTGAAAGCAAACATTGATATGGGCCGGCCTTGATATAGGCTCTCCTAACTTCATCACGCTTGTCAACGGGGCACATCCATATTGGTAGTCGCAATCCTGGATCACGTTCTAATGCTTGAATGTCAAACTTCTCATTGATTTCAATTCTTTGAGATTTTTCAAGACGACTTTCAGAATTCAATTGATCAACACTTGTAGATGGATTTACTTGAGATGATGAATCTTCAGAATTCTTTCTTTAAAAAAAGTATCAATTTTTTGTGTCTTTTTCATTATAGCTCAATCTTCCTATGTTCACAATTAATCACAATGTTAATATTTTGGTAAGTCAATTAAACATTTAAACTAAACAAGTCAATTAAACATTTAAATATATAATGTTACAAGACCCACACACATACGCACTACTACTACTACAAAGTACAAATTAGTATAATATTATTCATTCAAATCATCAAATGAGTAATGACATAAAACATATGAGGACAAAAAACTTTAAGATTAGTGGGATACAAATATACAATATTTAATGCACACAAGTCCATCTAGAATTCTGGTATTCAAGTTAGCACTTCTAATAATGTAAATAATGCACATAACAAAATTGAAATAAGATTTTAAAAGTGAGTTTTATGTACCTTCGAAATAAAAAGAGATGATATGAACCCATGTGAACAAACTGTGAGGTTTCCTTCTTTTAGAACTCCACTTTTTCCTCACTAATAGGAACAACCTGTTAAAATAAAGTCTTAAAGAGTTTAGTCCTTCTAAGTGTTTAGTGTCAGATTCTGAATTACATTGCACATGCAGTCATGTGAAAATCAATTTAAATTAAAGTATATCTTCACTTTTGTTTTTCTCTTTCTTCTTCAAAAATTTCATCTTTTTTTTTTTTTTGGGGTTGTGGTTTAATTAATTACTTTGATTATATGTAGCAATTTCTCTTTATTTCTTCTCACTTCTTCGGTGTATTTTTTAGGTTTTCATGTTTTTTTTTTTTTTTTTTGCCAACCAAATTAAATTCATTTTTGTTGTTTGAAATTATTCAATTGTATGAGTACAGACTGAGGCACTGATTTGTTTAATCTGAATTCTTTGTGTGTTTCTCAACCTCTACTAGCTTGATGTTCGCCATTAATGGAAGAAAACTAAAAGCATAAACTTAAAGAAATAAAGAAAAAAAACTTTGAACATCTATATCTATATATCTATATATATATATAAAAGTAAAATCCTCCTAGCAAGTTTTCCCCCCAAAACTTAGGGGCATTTCTGTAATCTAATAATAATAATAATAATAATAATAATAATAATAATAATAATAATATCTTAAATAAATAAATTATTATACTTTCCTTTTGAATTAGTATTTTCTACTTATAAATACAAGTTTATAATTCTTTTAATTCCTAGCCTTCCCATCATTTCCTTCTCCACATTGGTAGGGCTTCTCCACCCCGTATCTTCCCCATCATTTCATTGACTTTTGTTAATCATCCTGTGATCTTCCACAGTTGAGGCTGATACGTGATTTGCACAGGTGAGGTTTTCATTATCTTAGTTTTTTTTTTTTTTTTTTGGGTTTTGTTTTGTTTTGGATTTTTTTATATTTAAATAAGAAAAGTGGTTTGTAATAAAAATAATGTTGATATATTCTTCTTCTTTTTTTTTTTTTTTTTTTTTTTTTTTTTTTTTTTTTGTGGAGAAGATACAGATCTAGAAAGATTGATCGAGAAGCAATAGAGTTCGTTGCTCATCAAGTGGATAAAGTTTGGAGAGGGACGGATTCTGTGTATATGTAAAGAGATATACAGGGAAGCATGATAAGAATACTGTAAAATCAAAATGAAATTCAAAGCATTTTTTAGTTGTTAATATATAAAAGCGTTGAGCTTTGTTTCGACTCAATCTCTTCATTTTTAAAGTGTGCATTTTCTATAATACTGAGTAGTTTGTCTATCCCTTCAAGAGGTTTTTCTTGCCTTTTAAACTTTTTTTTTTTGGACAAAAAAATTATGAACTACTGTAGCTTAGTTTGAATACAGTATTAAAATCACTTTTCTAATTTGAAATAATGTTATTGACTTACCATGTTTGCTTCGATATGCTAAGCCATTTAAAATTTAATAAAATTTATAATTGTAATACTTTCGTAATAATATTGAATAAATATTAACCATATGTTTAGATTTAATAATATATTATATTAAAAGAATTATATATTAATCTAATATAGTGATGGTTAATACGGGTAAATCATATATAAGCATAATTTAATATAGAAAAGTATTCATTATTACTCATATATAATTTAGGGAATAAATAAACTTATTGAAACTTAATTATTTATAACTTCAACTTTAATCTAAATATATGAATTTAAATATATAGTTTAATATCCGAAATTAATAAGGTTTTCTTAATGTGAATCTATATATTTTTAATAATTTTGATTTAAATTGATAATTATAATTAATATAATTAATGAAATTGAGAAATATAATATTTTTACTGTGGAAATATTTGTGACAATTTCATAAATTATACGGAGTAACGAATAAAATATGAAATACAATTAAGAAAATAAAATTATAAAATTAACAAAATATGTTTTAATAAATATTTATAATTTTTTTTTTAAAATACATACATACATACATATATGTATGCATTATATTAATCATACAAAATTTAAAACAAAATTTTTAAAATTTCTAAATGTTATTTTTTAATTATAAATCTATCAATATATATATATATATATATATATATATATATATATATATATATATATATATATATATATATATATATATATATATAAGTATAAGTAAAATCCTAAGAGCAAAGTTTTCTCCCCAAAATTTAGGAGCATTTTTGTAACATCATCCAATTTATATATTTTATACGTGTATATGTATATTGTATACTTGATTACTTACCAAAGCTTACCAAATATATTATTATATAGATTAAATATATTATTATTACCTTTATTCATGCCTAAACATAAATGCATATATATGTAATGCGTTACTTCCTAATACCAAAGCTTACCAAATATATTATTATATAGATTAAATAAATATATTATTATTACCTTTATTCATGCCTAAACATAAATGCATATATATGTAATGCGTTACTTCCTAATACCAAAGCTTACCAAATATATTATTATATAGATTAAATAAATATATTATTATTACCTTTATTCATGCCTAAACATAAATGCATATATATGTAATCCAAATTGTCATTGTATTGGTCAAAATATTTAATTATGGTAGACTATAGAGTAATTAATGATGGTAATAAAATATAGAAGATTATTTAATTATAGTTATATTATTAGTATAGATTTATATATATATATATATATATATATATATATATATATATATATATATATATATATATATTACAAAATCACATATATATAAAAAGCTTTAGAATTAAGGATTGAATCATGACCATCTTCTGCGACAATCCTGGTAAAAATTGAAAATAAAATAATAGAAAAACAAATTTTTATGCACTTAATTAATAAATTTTAAAAATCTATATGTATATATAAACAAAATTCTCCTATTTGTAAAGCTAATATTTATTAAATTTATTCAAGTTGAGTTCAAATAGCCTGAGCACAAAAAATATTAGAAGTCAAGTTTCGTTTTTTCATATATATATTATTCACTAGCTCATACCAATTTTTTTAAAAGAAGGTAATACCAATGATTTGATTTATTTTTGGTAAGTTCTTTTTCTTTTACGGACCTTTTACTATATCAACTTTGCAAGCTTTAAAATACAAAAACTAAATACATTAAAAAAAAAAAAAAAAAAAAAAAACAATGTGGCAACCACTCTAACGTGTCCCATGAAAATTACACGCTCATTGAGCGCTATATAGAAGTTCAACCCGTGAACCATTTCTTCTTTTCAATTTTAAAATATTAAATTATTACTCAATAATTTAGTTTTCCTCCTTCATCTATAATCTCATATTTCATCTAACAAAGCACAAAAACCTTCACTAATTAAAGTTGGCACAATAATATAATGGGTCACGGGCTGGCACTGTCATATGAAATAATCTCAACTATAAAATTCGTTGCAAATATATTCTAAAAATTTATCGCTTTTAACGTGTTTAAAAACATGTGTTATCGTTCTTAACGCATTCATTTTTTAAAATTAATTTGATGCATATGAATGAGATTGAAAATAAGATACAAATAGAATTCATGCAGGAATGCATTCAAAAAAAGAATTCATGCAGGAATGTTAGGCAATCAAGTATGTATGTGTTTGTTGATTTAGCTCT